TTTTGGCCCTGCCCCTCAGCCCCCTGGGGGGTCAGCCACACCATTTGTACAATTTTAAATCCCTGCCTCCCAGGAATGCTTTTGATCAAATATGATTGATATCCAGTGCACAGTTCTACAGAAGAAGTCTTTTGTAGCAATATAGCCAAATTGCCCCCTTTTGGCCCCGCCCCTAAGCCCCCTGTGGAGTCAGCCCCACCATTTGTACAATTTTTAATCACCACCACATAGGGATGCTTCCAGGCAAATATGGTTGACATCCACTACTTAGTTCCAGAGGAGAAGTCGCTTAAAGCAATATGAGCAAATTGACCCCTTTTGGCCCCGCCCCAAAGCCCCCTGGGGAGTCAGCCCCACCATTTGTACAATTTTTAATCACCACCACCTAGGGATGCTTCCAATCAAATATTGTTGATATCAACTTCTTAGTTCCAGAGAAGAAGTCGCTTAAAGCAATATGAGCAAATTGCCCCCTTTTGGCCCCGCCCCTCAGCCCCCTGGGGGGTCAGCCCCATTATTTGTACAATTTTGAATCCCCACAACCTAAGGATGCTTCCAGTCAAATTTAGTTAAATTCCAACCAGTGGTTAAGAAGAAGAAGTTGTTTAAAGAAATTGTTGACGTACGGACGACGGACGACGGACGCCACAGTATGGCATAAGCTCACCTTGGTCCTTTGGACCAGGTGAGCTAATAATGAAATAGCAAGTGAGTTGTTAAAATTTCTGTTTTATAGTGACCTAGATAGTGAGTTATTAAGATTTCTGTTTGATACTGAGATTGATAGTGAGTTACATAAGGCTTCTATTTTTATATTGACCTAGGTTGTATGTAAAAACAGTATAGTTACCTAGATTTTGAGTCCATAGCACCATTCGTACTACAACCAGACAGGAACTGGGGCTGCTCAATCCGAGCTACTGCATTAAGTGGCTGGTCATCTCGGATCTCACATACACTCAAGGCATTTGGCACTGAAAGAGTTAATTAATAGATAATCGCACATTGTTATTAACTTCCCATCAACTTATTCCTTTTTCATTTTATCTTAATCATGGTACAGTAAGTAAGGACCAAGAGTGATCTTACTGAGCCTGATGCTAATTGTGTTGTACCAATGTAGCGAAACCATCATATGCTATTTCTGTTCCTGACCTAATAAATAAATAAATATACAGCATTTGATATAGCATCCTATCTAGCTAATATTAGGCACTCTAAAGCGCTTTACAGTACAAATATACAATTAATACAATTAGCATATACATAAATTAAATACAATTTTAAGGATTCGCAGGAGATGCCTTATCAGGCGCTAACTACTAGTCCTATGCTGCCTGGCTAATATCTCCCAATGTGTGTATGCATGTGTGTGTGCTGGAAATGTATTGTGTTCTGTTTGTAGTGGGACGTGCTTCCAACGGCATCATTTATAGTGCCACCTCACTTAAATGCTACAGCACAGATACCGCAACATCCACCCTAGACCAATTTAGGCTCCATCTGGATTGTTGGAGTTGTGTGGGCAGGAGAAAAACACTTTCTCTGAATATCCATGCATACAAAGACTTTGGGGATCGAACCCCAGCCGCCTGCTTACAACTCGACCAATTTGCCCGTAACTAATAGTGAGTTACCTTCACTAACAGACAAAGGAGTAGGTTTACTTGATCCAATAGTGAGTAATACCTTCACTGACGGACAAGGGAGTAAGTTTACTTGATCCAACAGTGAGTAATACCTTCACAGACAGACAAGGGGTGTTTACCTTCCATTGATGGAGCTCTACTAGAATACCTATATCCACCCTGGATTCCTTCACTGGTACATTGACTGATCACTCCATACAGCACAAGGATTGCCTTTCCCTTTATTTTCTTGACAAACAAAGGAGTAAGTTCACCTGATCTAATAGTGAGTAATATCTTTACTGACAGATCTATACAAGGGGGTAAAATTTACCTGATTCAACTGTTACTTACTCATTGATAGAGCTATACAAGGGAGCAAGTTAACATGACCTAACAATTAGCTACCTGCTTCTGACAGACTA